GTATTATTATTATTATACAGTATTTATATAGCGCCAAAGGGTATGCTCAGCGCTGTACAGTAACAATGGGGACAGAACATGAGACAATACAGTAACAATACAATACACGAGGGGTTCGAGGGCCCTGCTCTTTCGAGCTTACAATCTAGGAGGGAGGGGAAGGTGGTACAGGAAGAGATGGCTGTGGGGGGGATGGAGTGGTGGGAGGAGTGGAGGAGGTTGTTAGGTGAGGTCAGGTGTTAGGTGAGGTTGGGGTAGGCTTCCCTGAAGAGGAGGGTTTTCAGGGTGCGCCTGAAGGTGAGGAGGGTGGGTGACAGTCTGAAGGATTGGGGTAGGGAGTTCCAGAGGATGGGGGAAGTCCTAGAGAAGTCCTGCAATCGGGCGTGGGAGGAGGAGACAGGGAGCTAGAGAGTAGGAGGTCCTGTGAGGAGCGGAGGGCATGGGTAGGGTAGTATTTGGGTATCAGGTCAGTTATGTAGTTTGGGGCGGTGTTGTGAATGGCTTTGTAGGTCAGGGTTAGCAGTTTGAATTTGATGCGTTGGGCAATCGGGAGCCAATGAAGGGATTGGCAGAGGGGGGAGGCAGATGTGGAGCGGTTGGTGAGGTGGATGAGTCTAGCCGCTGAGTTTAGGATCAACTGGAGTGGGGATAGCGTTCGTTTGGGTAGGCCAGTGAGAAGGGAGTTGCAGTAGTCCAGGCGTGAGATGATGAGGGAGTGTACGAGTTGTTTGGTGGTGTCTGGGGTGAGGAATGTGCGTATCTTGGAGATGTTGCGGAGGTGGAGCCTGCAAGATCTAGATAGCAGTTGGATGTGGGGTAGGAAGGAGAGGTCGGAGTCCAGGGTGACACCAAGGACTTTGGCGTGTGGGGTGGGAGAGATGGTGGCGTTGTTAGTAGTAATGGAGAGGATGGGGGGGGGGGGTGGCGCGGGGGGGGGGGAAGACCAGGAGCTCGGTTTTGGTAAATATATAATCTATTTTATTCCCCATAAATAGTTCTTTTCTGCAGTGTTGTAGGCCTCGTGCGCACTAGGCATCAAAAATGCCCCTTTTAAGAGCATTTGGCGTTTTTTTTGGGGGGATTTTTTGTCACTAAGTGCCCCTCTGTGTCAGCCTATGGGTAGATTTACTAAAACTGGTGCACACATAATTTTCACTTATGCTTTGACAATAAAATTAGAAGTTGATTGGTTACTATGCACAGCTGCACCAGATTCTGTGTGCATCACTTTTAGTAAATACCCCCCCCCCCCCCCACACCACACCTAGGCATTTACAGGTGATTAGAGGCAGGGGGTTTTAGAGGCAGAAAAAACCCAGGGCCATCGCATTCAGGAGGGATTTGTTTTGCTGCAAAAAAATCCTGATGCACCTAAACGCACTTAAGCGCTAGGCACGTTTAGAGCTCGAGCGTTCATTCACTTCAGTGGCCAGAATAAATTAACATTCTGTTAAATGAAATGAATGAAAGCTAAAAATGCTTGACGTGTCTGAAAGAAAAACAGCTTTAGGCTTGTTTTTAATGCTGCTTTCTCCTGCAAGGAAAAGAGTGTTTTAGAAGAGTTGCAGTGTACCGGAGACCTTGGGGGGGGGGGTTAACTTGAATAAGAAGAATTGCCCGTGGAAGGTCCACGGGTCTTTATATTTGCAAGTTTAAGTCAATCATTCGTTCATTCATTCATTTATTTTCAAAACTAGACTGATTGCTGAAATTGATCCTATTGACATTTGTGTGGCCAGCATTCAAATGTTTTCAGATTAACTAGCACAGGTACAAAAGCCTCGGGAGGAATCCAACCCTAGAAATTCTTTTAAACTGGCCGTTCCGGAACTATTGTGAGTCGGCGTACGTTTAATACATGTGATAGTTGACCCCACACTTGCTGTAGCTGGACCAGCTGCTCAACGCATTATGGTGAGCAATTGCTGCAGCAAATCCATGCATGACTTTAGAAAAGTCCCGGCTTAGTAATCTTTTCACTCACGGCCTAGCTAAAAATAACTGGTTAGATTGTTATTGCCACCTCTGACCTTATAAACTCCGTCTTAAAGGCCAAAGCTCTCATAGCTGTCATTGTCAAATTACCAGAAGCACTACAAATGCTGAGTAACATGGCATGCCAGCCCTGGAACTAGTGCTGCTAGCATGAACTGAGCATTGATGGCTTCATGAGATGGATGGAAGGGTAACCTATGATAGGCCACCTTGAGGGGTTCTCTTGAAGGAACAAATGAAGAGACAAGTCAAGTCAAGCAGGCATTTGGATTGATGTACTAAAACTGGAGAGTGCAAAATCTGGTGAAACCCCGCATAGAAACCAATCAGCTCCAGTTTTTTTTGTCAAAGCTTAATTGAACAAGCTGAAGTTGAAAGTTAATTGGCTCCCATGCAGAGCTGCACCAGATTTTGCACTCTCAAGGTTTTAGTAAATCAACCCCATTTACTAATATAAGGGGGTTATTTAATGTTGAGATATAGATTGGTGATAAGGGCTGGCATACACCAGTGCAAAAGACCCCGTGAATGACTGGACGACAACAACAACAACCAAGGCCAAGGTTTTTCGGGAACAACCAAGTTGACATTAATGTGTAGGTTATAAAAAAAGGGGCACAGGGTAGAGGCAGATGCATGCTGAGTTAATGAAGGGTGCTGGGTGGGAAGGTGATGATGATGGGTTATAGGACCCTAACAATCAGGCTCTTCCTGACTGTGCCAAACCATCCCCTCCTAATAAACTAAAAAAATCCCAGCGCCAATCAAAGAAAGTATACAATTATGCAGCTGTGCACCAGTGAAAACCACCAATAATAAATAACACAAAAAACAGCGCAAAAATTAAATAAATAAAAATAATCACAAATAAATAAATATCCATGCAAAAATATATATATAATATTTCAAACATAAGTCCTTATTTTCCCAAAAGGATTTTCAAGACAATGTTCCAAAATGTGCTTCCACCTAATCACCACGTGAAAAATAATATTGACCGCACTCACCAGATGGAGTTGAGTAATAAGCCTCATAGGATATAAGGGATCCTATAGCCCCTCAGGAGGAACTCAAATCGCCTTCACCCTGCTTAGATACAGCTAATCGACTCCACTCTACTTCTCCATGGAATCCTCAATAGTGTGCAAGGAAAGAAAGGCTACATAGTGTAATACTGCCACTCAATACCATATAAATCCATAGAATAAGGACACTCACATGTTTCAATAAAATAACAGGCCTTGTTTAATAGCCTCAAAGGCTTCAAAGGAACAAGTTTCCAAATTGTAAATATAGGGATCTCACGCTTTAAGGATCACTGTAGAGGATGACCAGCTTTCCACCTCAAAAATGGCTGCTTGAACCGCAAAAGTCGGCGTGCGTTCCAAATCTGGTGAGTGCGGTCAATATTATTTTTCACGTGGTGATTAGGTGGAAGCACATTTTGGAACATTGTCTTGAAAATCCTTTTGGGAAAATAAGGACTTATGTTTGAAATATTATATATATATTTTTGCACGGACATTTATTTTTTTGTGATTATTTTTATTTATTTAATTTTTGCGCTGTTTTTTGTGTTATTCATCCCCTCCTAATGCATGTCATTAGGTAAGTGTCCAAACAGATAGTGGTTATCAGATTTGCCAATCAATTTTCTGGTTGTGACTGGTATATGGTACCCAACCTTGAGTGTCTCTGAAAATACACAGCTGGGAACCATATAAGGGTAGCAATAGTTGCCTGGTTAAGAGGCTAGCTAGGCTATTGGCAGGAGTGCCCCCTGAACGCTGCTTGTACTGAACCCTACTAACGACAGTCACATGCCCAGTCAGCCCTCTGTGTGCACGAAATGCAACTCGTCTCAGTTGGGTCCTGCCCTTTTGAAATCTCTTCTATTGGGCTTTGTAAAACTATAAAGTACAGACAGATAACGGGCATCTACAGTGCCAGCGCCACCAACATAATATGAGAGTGAGCTTCAATTTGAATAGGATGAGCCACAGAGGGTTCTATTAATGCTAATAAAGCATATCAAAACCCAAGATATATGAGGGGTCTTCAAAAGTTTCCACAAATATATATATATATATATATATATATGAAAGAGCTAAAACATTTTGAAGAACCCTCGTATAATATATTGCAGCTAATGCTAGGTTCACATTAGTGCTGGTCAGGAACCTGCGCAAAATTGTAAATTTTCCCAACATGCACAGAAACATGCTGCCCTTTAAAGCTACGTTCACACTAGCCAGTGTGCAGGCGGCAGAGAGGCGTTTGGTAAGCGTTTTTACCGCTTCCCAAACGCCTCTGCCAATTCTGCACATTACAGCACATGGTGCTGTTCTAACGGGAGCGTTTGCGTCGCATCGCGGCAAAACTGCCTCTGGACGAGTCAGGAGGCTTTGAAGCCTCCTATTCTCGTCTACGGTGCCGCTCCGCAAACGCCCGGCCGGCATTTGCGGTGCGGTTGCGACGCGGTTGCGGGGCGTTTGCGGAGCGGTAACACCACTCAAACTGAGTTAGGCGTTTGTGGGGCGTTATTAACGCTCGGCAACGCCTAGCAACCGCCGCTGAACCGCGCATGCGGCGTTTGCGGAGCGTTAATAACGCTCCGCAAACGCCAGACCAACGCTTGCCAAAAGCTATAGGGGCGTTTGGCAAGCGTTGGCAAAACAGCCTAGTGTGAACGAGCCCTAACAGATAGGCAGTGGTGCCATTAATTCTTAATTCTTAATGGCACCCCTGCACAACTACTAAGGCAGGGCTTAAAATTTGAAGTCCTGAGCTACTAGCCAGGCCTTAGAGTTACTCGACACCAACAAACACACACAAACAGAGACAGCTGTACACAAACACAGACATGTACACACACACACACAGAAACATGTACACACACGCACAGAGACACATGTACACACACACACATACAGACACATGTATACACACACAGGCACATACAGACACGCATACACACAGATACACACACACAGACACATGTACATATGTACACAGACACATGTACATACATACACACATGTACATGCACACACACACAGACACATGTACACACACACACACATACATGTACATACACATGTACAGATACACACATGTACATACACACAGACACATGTACAATTGTACATGCATACACAGACAGGTACACACACACCCCATAAAAAGTTGCAGTACTTCATTGTTCACTCACAGATCCGGGTACTGCACTCTAGGGGGAGGAAGAGAGCACAGCACACACTCCTTGCTTTGCTTTCACTGCGCTCAGCTATTGAGCAGTCTGATGGCTCCCAGTGCCAATGACAGATCCGGCCTGAGCTCCGAGCCTGCTCAGCAAAACAGCCCTGGGGGACACACTCGACCCCACCATAATTTCCACTCGCCATTGGCGAGCAGGCGAGTGGAAATTTCAAGCCCTGTACTAATGCATGCATTTTCAAGTGCTCCTAAACACATGGTGCGGCACGATTTTGCAAAAGGGTCAGGGACTTCGTCTTTACACTTCTCATGTGTAGGGCAGCCCATTGAAATGAATAGGCTGCCCTACACACAGCAGATGGAAGCACACCAGATATGATGCATGCTTTGTTGTGCGCACCATTGTTAAACTATCCTTAGATGTGGTGGCTGCGATAGTTTTATTTTTTCAGGCTTCTTTCATCTTTATTATCCCCTGGAGACCCTACTTGTGAAAACGTCTTCTCCTAGGCTTCCAACATTCACTCAAGATATGGTATATATGAAGGAGCAGCACTACCACTCTAGCACAGGTCTACAATAACCTCCCCCTCTCCTCGTCCTTTTAACATAGAGAGCATGGGTTCTGTAGTTCTCAGAAATAGCTGTGAAGGATGTAACTGAAATGAAAGCAGTGCAGACAGAGAGAATTTGTACTTATTGAACAGATATAACAAAACACATTAAATGCTATATTTAACAGACAAACAAAGGCCGAATAAAAGAAGTTAATTGCTTGGATTTTCAAAGACTTTAGACGTAATACCAACATATATTAAAAAATGTAAAAAATCACACTTTTAACATGTTTGCCGTAAAGGGTTAAAGTGCAAGCGAAGAGGATTGCAGGGCCCTTTTGTGAGAGCGGGGGTTTATGGGAGCTCCAGCAAACTAATTCCAGATGGAAGATAATCCTGGCCCAGCACACTGCAGTGATGTCCATGTTCCAATCTGCTGTGGAGTGTTCAGACTGCTCTGAGAATCTCCCTTCTGTAGGTGTAGCAAACATGTCTCATCAACTTTTCTAGTAAATGTAGAAAACACTTTTCTGCCATGGGAAGTAATGGTGGTTTTACTTTTCTTTAATCTGAAACTTGAAACATTACTTTTGATTGGTTGCTAGAAGGTACTGCACAGCATTTGTCCCTTAGCTAACCAATCACAGGGGGCAAAACTGATTCAACAGATTGAATTATTCTCTCTCTTCTGAAGTACACAGATGGAACACATACTGTTTGTACTGTATATGGGAGTTACTATGTCTTGCAAAAGAATTTGTTAGTCTTTCCATCCAGTCCTGAGATATACCCAGCCCTTGCAGTCAGCACAGGCAAATAGATATTGACTAGGCTGAATTATTCATTTTTTTTTTCTTTCTTTTGCTCTTTCTCTCTCTTTTCTCTCTCTCGCTCTTTCACTCTCTCTCTCCTCGCTCTTTTTCTCTCGCTCTCTATCTCGTTATTTATTTCTTTTTTTTCTCTCTTTCTTTTTTGCTTGCTCTCTCTCTTTCTCTCTCTCTCTCTCTCTCGTTCTCTCTTTCTTTCTTTCTTTCTTTCTTTCTTTCTTTCTTTCTTTCTTTCTTTCATCCATTGATTGGCCTCCTGTTACTGACCTAGAAGCAACATGTAAAACATCACTTCCATGCCCCCCCTTCACTTTCTCCAGCCAGTTTAATTAGAGAACAGGTGAGCCATGAGGGGTCTCTCAGAGGGGTCTCTTAGACCCCTCATGTCTCATTAAAGAGAATCTGTCACCAAAAAACTGCATCACACAGGGAACTTTCTGTCCCTTGTGTGATGAAAAAAAAAAGTTTAATAAAAAGAAATAGGAAAACAATTTGTAAAATATTACTTCCACCCAAGGACTTAAAATCACCCCCCAAAAATGAGTCCCCTCCTACCCCCACATACACTATATTGCCAAACGTATTGGGCCAGCCCTCCAAATCATTGGATTCAGGTGTTCCAATCACCTCCATGGCCACAGGTGTATAAAATCATCACCTAGGCATGCAGACTGCTTCTACAAACATTTTTGTGAAAGAATGGGTCGCTCTCAGGAGCTCAGTGACTCCAAGCGTGGTCCCGTGATAGGTTGTCACCTGTGCAATAAGTCCATCCGTGACATTTCCTGGCTACTAAATATTCCACGCTCAACTATTAGTGGGATTATAACAAAGTGGAAGCAACTGGGAACAATAGTAGCTCAGCCATGAAGTGGTAGGCCACGTAAAAAGAGTGTTGCCAACTGTCCACAGAGTCAAGAGCTAAAGATCTCCAAACTTGGTTTGGCCTTCAGATTAGCACAACAGTGTGTAGAGAGCTTCCTGGAATGGGTTTCCATGGCCGAGCAGCTGCATCCCAGCCTTACATCACCAAGTGCAATGCAATGCGTCGGATGCCGTGGTGTAAAGCACACCGCCACTGGACTCTAGAGCTGTGGAGACGTGTTCTCTGGAGTGACCAGTCACACTTCTCTGTCTGGCAATCCAATGGATGTGTCTGGTTTTGGCGGTTGCCAGGAAAACGGTACTTGCCTGACTGCATTGTGCTATGTGTAAAGTTTGGTGGAGGGGGGATTATGATATGAGGTTGTTTTTCAGGGGTTGGGCTTGGCCCCCTAGTTCCAGTGAAGGGAACTATTAAGAAGTCAGCATACCAAGACAATTTCATGCTCCAAACTTTGGGGATGGCCCCTTCCTGTTCCAACATGACAGCGCACCAGTGCGCAAAGCAAGGACCATAAAGACATGGATGAGCCAGTTTGGGGTGGAGGAACTTTGACTGGCCTGCACAGAGTCCTGACCTCAACCCATAGAAACACCTTTGGGATAAATTAGAGTGGAGACTACGAGCCAGGCCTCCTCCCCCGACATCAGTGCCTGACCTCACAAATGTGCTTCTGGAAGAATGGTCAAAACTTCCCATAGACACCCTCCTAAACCTTGTGGACGGCCTTCCCAGAAGAGTTGAAGCTGTTATAGCTGCAAAGGGCGGGGCCAACTCAATATTGAACCCTACAGATTTACACTGGGATGCCATTAAAGTTCATGTGCGTGTAAGGGCAGGCCGACCAATACATTTGTCAATATAGTGTACATGCATGTACAAATTTGGCTGGTGGTGGATTTGTCACAGTTTGGTGGTGTTTTGATAAGAAGCACAAATATTTATGAAGATAACAAAACCAAAAAATAAATAATTTGCACATTTATGTATGGAGATTATGAAGATAACATTTATGAAGATAACAAAACCGAAAAGGAGATATTTTGCACATTTATGTATGGACGTTTTAAAAAAGGATTGATAATATTGTATGGACACATTGTTATTCCCATATAATGGCGATCACGGATATATGACACGAATGTGATCATATTGAAGATTTTTGTTTTATTAAGTGTTCTTGCATGGCAGACCACTTCCTGTTATCTCACATATATATTCTTATTATTATAGCCAAATTTACCACCCTAACTCCTCCCACAGTTCTTACACTACATAGACAGTAATATACCGAAACGTGCGGATTGTTCCGATTGGTGTGCTATTACTTTGTAGAACGTTTTGCCAAATGGTTCACGAAATATCTGAGTTTTTGTGGTGAAATTGGTCCCATAGGAATGAATGGTGGAATGTTCAAAACTAGAGTGGGAGCTGACAAAAGATAGAGCGTGAGCTGAAAAATCAGGACATGATTTCTAAACTGCCATCACTCCCTCATTTTCAAGCCCACCTACACAAATCTTATATCAAAATGTTCAGCTATCCCTGCTGCCACTAAAAATGTCAATGGCTAAGCTGTAGTCCTGATAGTTTTCACAATATGACCATTTGTATGCAACTCACGTCGCCCATTGACATTCATTGAAACTCCACTCTAGCCACCTAAATTTAAAGGGCAATTTCTAAACTGAGACTGTGCCTTCATTTTTAATATTTCAGAGACATACTATGCATCAAAATATAGGTCTGGGTCTTGTGATTCTCACAATATAAAGCTCTTTACTGTAGGATTTATAATTTTTAAACTACGACCATTTGAAGATGGCAACCGCCAGTGAAGTGAGCAAGTTGGAGCAGTTTGTTTTTAACCGCTCTTCTCTGCCCTTGCTGTAGAGTGAGTTGCCATAGGAACCCAGGTGTGTGAGCAGGCAGCAGAGTGACAAGCCACTCCACCCAGTTACTCCGCCCACTCCAGTTGTAGACTACTGGTGGAGGGCAAGAACACTTCACACAATTTCCCCAGAAATTGTAGCTTTTCTAGTTATTATTATTATACAGGATTTATATAGCGCCAACGTTTTGCTCAGCGCTTTACATTATAGTGGGAGACAATACAGTTCAATACAAGAGGGATTTGAGGGCCCTGCTCCACAAGAGGGATTTGAGGGCCCTGTTCCACAAGAGGGATTTGAGGGCCCTGCTCCACAAGAGGGATTTGAGGGCCCTGCTCCACAAGAGGGATTTGAGGGCCCTGCTCCAAAAGAGGGATTTGAGGTCCCTGATCCAAAAGAGGGATTTGAGGGCCCTGCTCCAAAAGAGGGATTTGAGGGCCCTGCTCCTTGGAGCTTACAATCTAGGAGGGAAGGGTGAATGGGACAGTAGGTAGTAACTGTGGGGGATGGAGTGGTTGGAAGAGTAGAGGATTCCAGAATTAGTAGAGGGCGGGATAGGCTTCCCTGAAGCGATAGGTTTTCAGTGATCGCCTAAAGGCAAGTGGAGTAGGTGAGAGTCTGATAGATTGGGGTAGGGAGTTCCAGACGATGGGTGACGCCCTGGAGAAGTCTTGGAGACGAGCATGGGAGGAGGAGATAAGGGAGCTAGAGAGTAAGAGGTCTTGCGAGGAGCGGAGTGTACGGTTTGGGTGATATTTAGAGATAAGATCGGTTATGTAAATTGTAATTTGTTATAAGATATTATTTCATAAGTTTCTATTTTGACACAGCGAGATTATAGTAAGGGGATACGGTCTGCTTATGGATGTGATATCATTCATACTCCGAGGAGCGCTTGTCTAAACACATTTTTACATTGTGAAAGGTTTTAAGCTTCGATTGGAATTTAGCGACTGGATTTACATCTATTTCAATTGCATTGTTTTTTTGTTTTTTTTTCTTTTTTTCTGCCTGGTGTTCAGCTTTAAGCGTACCAGAGTCTGACCACCATGAGCACGGCGTCCCCCCTCCCTTCCTGT